GAAAGGCCAGCGCATCGTCCTGGGATCACTTGGGGGCCAGAGCAGACCGCGCGCCCACCTCCGCTCCCTGGTGCCAGGGGCGCGACCGCCCTGTCCGTGAAGACGACGGGGGCGGAAAAGGACGCGCCGCCAAGTCCCCAAGGTGGAACCCTGAGCGCGCGGGGCCGCGCAACGCACCCTGGAAGAACATCAGCGGAGACCAGCAGTACTACGATGGCCTTCGCGACCCCAAGGGCGACGGCCCCATGTACAGATGCCCCCTATCAGCCGCGGGCGTGGAAAAGGGCGAAGCCATCCAGGCCAAAATTGCACGCCTGCAAAAGACACTAGGAGGCGCCTTCAACGCTATGTGGCATGCGTGGTCCAAGCGAGCTGCCCAGGATCAGGACATCAAGGGAGGCGATAAGAGCAACCCCCGACTCAACACACCTGAGACTTGCTCAGGCTTCATGAAACCCTGGGCCCGCGCTGCCTACGACGCGTACCGGATGGATCGCGAGCTCGAACTCGGTATAGATTGGGTCGCAATTCGCCGCAAGCACATGAATTTCTCCGCGCGGTACGACGCCCCCACACACGCCTCCCGCGCACCAGGCGGCCGCGACACGCCGGCTCCCTGGACAGCCGAGGGCCGCAAGGTCGTGCGAGCAGCGGCAGGATCCCTGGGCAGGCGCCATCGGATCGGCCACCCCCAACCAATGGCGAGGCTGGCAGGGATGGCCCCCATGGGAACGTCGCGACACCCTATGGCCTATGGACGGACTCCTACTGGAAAGGAGGGGGCAAGCGGTACTCTCCGCGTGATGACCACCGCGACTCCGAATAGCGTGGCCGCTGGTGGGACAAGAGCGACTCCGCAGCCCAAGGTTGATTCGCTCCCGCCATCGGGCTGCGCGCCGTGGCCTTCGTTCTTCCAGGTGCACGGAAGGTTCCTGGGTCTCTCCGCCACCTCCCGCCGCCCGTGGCCCCGAATGGGCCCGTCTCACCACGCCGCGCCCGGCCTAGGCCGCAATGCCTGGGACCGCCCTCCGCTGGGGCGAGGGCTACCCCCCCTTCTTTTCACCGTGGCGCAGCTTAGCTAGACAGCCTCCGCTGGACAAGTGGCCCATCTGCCACCTTTTCGGGCTCGCCGTCGGGGCCGTCCCCCTCGCGCGCCCGACATCTCACCCTCGCTTGCCCTCTTGGGCCACGGCTGGCTCACGTCTGTAGAGGCCTCGGCCACCCTGGAAGGTGCTGTCCGAAGATGGCAGTTCTCTTTTCCCTTAACCCTGAGCAGCGGTTAGCTGCGACCCTGGATCAGCTCGAACCCGCAGTCCCCGCGGGTGCGTCGGCCACCGCGGCAGCATCGCTGTCAGTCAGCACGTGCCTCAGCGGACTTCAGCCGGCCCATCCTGGACCGCGCAGACAGTGGGAGGAGAGAACGACGGATCTCGCTGACGGCGGTAACAACACTTCACTCAGAGCGGCCGTTAGCCGCGACCCTGGATCCTCGCGGGGAATGGCAGATACGACGGGTAAGTCAGTGCCCCGACGGAGCCCGCCCATCCGTCCGCCTGTTGGGCCCGTGGTGTCTGTCCCCACCGGCCCTCCCAGTGGGTCCTCTTCTGTCAGGGCGGCTGTCTGGTCCCCGTCCCCCTGGAACGCGGGGGTGGTCGCCCTGCGCAGCTCCCCCCTGGACTCCCTGGCCTCGCTGGCGGTGTTCACCCCCGCCAGCCTGGCCCTTCCCACGCAGTGCATCAGTCGGCGTCCTTGGGCAGCTGATGGAGGGGTCGGCCCCTGGGATCCGAAGGCCTTCCCCGTTGTGCACGGGGTGGTGGGCCATGAGCCCCGTGCCGCTGCCGAGTGTTTCAGCCTTCGCAGCCGCGGCCGCTCCCCTGGGCCCCTCCCACCCACCAGGCAGGTTTGCGACGTTCCTCGGCAGTTCAGCCCACCGTGTGCGCACACGCCGTTGGGGCGGCCCTGGGCTTGGCGCCCCGCTGGCGACTCGCCCATCGTCCTCCTCGCCTGAAAGCCCACCTGGCATGATGGACTTGCAGTTATCGGCGCACCCGCTTCTGCACCGCTGAGTGGGCTCTGCCTCGCGGCACATACCCCTTACTTTCCTGGCATTTTGCTACGCTGCAAGTGCCTGAGCTTCCCTGGGCGCCCTCGGCCCGCCAGCTCTTCAGCGCAGCCCCGCAGCTGCTCTATGAGTGGGCCGGCTGGCCTGCGGCGCATGTAGTAGCTAATTATGCCGCTGCCGTGTCCCGGAGCGCTTCTGACTCCGCTTGCGTTTTCGCTGGCGGACGCGACCGAAAAAGTACCCCAACAGCCCGTCCAGAAACGATGCCCGGAGGAAGTGCCTCGATCAGGGAAGTGGGCAGCACGCAGAGTCAGGGCCCCCCAGTGGAGGCGTCTTGGAGCGTCTTGGGGGCCTCTTGGCGGTCCCGGGCGCCTCTTAGAGCGTCTTGAGTGCATCGGGGAGCTTTTTGGGGCCTCTTGAGGGTCTCTTGGGGGCCTCGTGGAGGCCTCAGGGGCGCCTGTTGGGGCCTCCTGGGGCCTCCTGGGCGCCTCTTGGGGCCTTCTTGAAGCGCTATTGGGGGCCTTGGGAGCGCTCCTGGGGCCCTCTTGGGCCATCTTGGAGTCATCTTGAAGCCTCGGATGGTCATCGGAAGCGAAAAGGCGAGAAAGCCCAACGCACGGATTTTCCTTCGGTTTTGGAAGGATTTTGGCTTCTTCGGGGCCTCCTGGGGGGAGCTCTCTGGCCATTTGGAGCCGTCTTGAAGCGGTCTTGGGGCCTCTTGGAGCATCGTGGGAGCCATCCTGGGGTGTCTTGCGCCATCTTGGAGGTCATCTTGGGCTCTCCCAGGCACTCGTGGAGTCATCTGAAGCAGTGCCCCCCAAGTGTTACCAAAACCTTAGTAAACTCAATGACTGTGGCATTCTCGCTGAGGCCTCTTGGAGCGTCTTGGGCGCTTGGGCCTTGTGGGGGTCTCTTAGGGGCCTCTTGGGGGCATCCTGGGGGCCTCTTGGGGGCTTCTTGGGGCCGCGTGGGGCCATCTTGGGGCCATGTCGGGGCCTCTCGGGGCCTCCTGGGCGCCTCTTGGGGCCATCTTGGAGGAGATCGATCGCAGGATGAGGGGGGGGGGCTTAATTAGCTTTCCCCCTTAGGTGGCCAAAATGGAGCCATAACCTGAGTAACACCAATGATTTTGGCTTCCTCGCCGAGGCCGTTTCGGGCGCTCCAACGCGTCGCGGAACCCCCCGCCCAGGTCCAGGGGAGGGGGTCGGGCAAGCTAGGTGCGCTCGCGTCATGTCTGACATCCTGCCCCTCCCTCCCATCCCTTACTATGGCGTAGATCCCCTCTCTACTCGCACAGTCGGATGTCGAGCAGGGCAATGATCCCGAAAAGGGTACGCGATGCATTGTAGAGCACGGCGTGACATGGCGTAGAAGAGCACCGCAAAGCGTAGTATGTCACAGCATGGCGTGACGTGGCGCAGTGAAGAATTGCATCGCGCATCTTTGCGACGCAAAGCATGGGATCGCACAGCGGCCCCGAACATAACATTGCATAACGTGGCGTTGAAGATCAAAGCGTAGCATGGCATAGCACGACGTGGCACTTAATCACTGCATATCACCGCTTCAGCTGAAGGCATGGCATCGCGCAGCGGAACGCAACCTAGCATTGCATTGCATGCCGTGGCATGGCGCGGGAAAGGACGCCAGCGCTGCAGCGGGAACACGATTCGGAACGAACGGAAATGCGGAAATGAGGCCAGCGCTGCAGCGGGAACACGATTCGGAACGACCGGAAGCACGGAAATGAGGCCAGCGCCGCAGCGGGAGCACGATTCGGAACGAGCGGGGCCCGAAAATGAGGCTGGCGCCTCAGCGAGAGCTACATTTTGAAACAATGCAGGTGAAAACCCATCTCCGAGGAATCCTGTGTGTTAAAAAACAGTACGCGGGGGGGCGAACACTCCCAACCCGTCATCAGGGGAAGGGGGAGAGTAGTGTTCATATTGAGTAATTGTGGAGGGGTCTTGCCCCCCCCGCCCGCAAGCCGTCTCGCTCAGTCCCACCCGCCCTCCCAACACATACGTAGCACCCGAGCCTGGCCCGAACCGCAGCATATTCAGCAGTCGTCTTTGGATGGGAAGGTACTGACGAATCCACCGCCGCCGCCGCCGCCGCCTCCGCCGCCGCCGCCGCCCGCCGCCACCGCCGCGCCGCCGCCGCCGCCGCCGCTGCCCGCCGCCGCCGCCGCCGCCACCGCGCCGCCCGCCGCCGCCGCCGCCGCCGCCGCCCCCGCTGCCGAATCGCCGCCGCCGCAGCCGCTGCCGCCGCAGCCGCTGCCGCCACCGCTGCCGCCCCGCCGCCGCCGCCGCCGCCGCCGCCCCCGCCGCCGCCGCCGCAGCCGCCGCCCCCGCCGCCGCCGCCGCAGCCGCTGCCTCCGCCGCAGGCGCCGCAGCCGCCGCCGCCGCCGCCAAGTACTCTGTATTGTTTTTTGACAGGGATGGTGGGGGGAGGCCGCATCGGGTTCGCTGCGCATGCTCCGAATTTGGAGGCAGAGTGTGTGTTTATATGGTTTTTCACGAGGGATGGTGGGTGGGGCCCGCATGGTCTCGGGTTGGCTCCCAGTCGCCAGGGTAGGGGGTGTATACTAATAGGGAGCAGTGAGAAACCCCTCCCCGAAGGGGAAGAGGAAACTCCTTAAACCACCTACGCCCAGAAGGCTGTTGGGATTCTCCCCCTCTCCTGAAAATCGTTCCTCCATCTCCTCCGCTCCCCCCTCTTCTCTTCTGTTCTCCGTCCACCCAGCCCTCCTTACCCGGCCTCCCTCGTCTTCCTCCCCGTCATCTTCTTTTATCTTCCGTTACTCTTCTTCTTCCTGTTTCTCGTCCGCTTCTTTGTTCTGTTCCCCTTCTCTCCTCCTCTCATTCCTTCCATTTCCTCGAGGGGGGCGGGTGTGCCGGGCGCCTGGCGCTGCTTTTCTTTGGACCCTGCGCCGAAGGAGGGTACGGCCAACCAGGATGCCAGCGGGGACACCTGCGATGTGTACGAGGATTCCTTCGCCATTCGCCCCCGCCACTCAGGGGCGACGATAGGGTGGGCTGGGCTCAGGGGGAGTGCGTCGACCCCGAAATGCCTTTTCATCGCCGACTTGGGCCACACAGCTCACTTCGCCCAGGAACGTGCGGGTTCGCTATCGGGGGCCTATCGCTGATCTATCGGCGATGTATCGCCGATTCCAGGTCGATGTTTCTCTCTGACCTGGTTCTCGCCATGTCGTTCCTCCCGAGGGGAATGGGTCCCGCCCAGTTTTTTTTTGGCTCCAGGATCGGGTTCGACGAAAGAGGGGGGGCTGTGCAATCTGCCGCATGCAGCTGGTCTCGGCGCCGCTGCCCGGCGCCTTCCATGCTACGCTGACGCTTCCAGCGCTGGGAGGCGCCAGGACAACTAGCTGACCCCCCCTTTGCTATTCCTCCTTTGCGATTCCCCCTCTCGTCTGAGCTGACAGCACCTTCGAGGAAGGCCTCATGATGAGCTATTGGTCCTTTTCCTTTTCCTCATGGCCCCTTCTCTCCATGGTCACTGTATGTATACATTTATATTTGAATGTACGTATGTACATTGCACAGTTCTGAATTGCTGTAGCGTGTCTGCCTCACAGCGTCGCCCCGCTCGAATGCAACGCAATAAAGCGACCCTTTTCGGCTGAAAGGGGTCGGTTTCTCAGCTTGCGTGTTTTCCTGAGGTGCCTGCCTCTGTATGTCGGCACCTCGGCGCAAGTCTTAATTAAGCGACTCGCGTCGCTACATGAGCTCCGATAAGGCACATTTCGCTTGGGTCGTCGCACGCGATCTCTTCGGCTATTGGAGTCGGCCAGAGCCGGCACAGTGTATCTGCCAGTGCCCTGAGAACGTGTGCTCGTGCCCGGCGCTGGAGTGCAGCGCACACCTGGAGGTGATCAAGGAGTTGTCGGTGGAGCAGTCCGCCCGCGCCTCCATCACGTGCCCCGTCTGCGAGGCGGAGTGCGACGCGTTCCCGGGGTACCCGTGGTTCCTCGTCTTCGTGCTGGTGATCAGCGTCCTCGTCTCGGGGGTGCTCGGGTACTTGCTCGGTCGCGCCTGCGGGCGTGGTGCTCGGAAGCCTTCCGAGGCTCAGAGGTCAGTCGCGGCTACACGTACTGGACCAGTCTTTCCCTCGACGCTCGCTGCCCTTGAGGACTAGTCGACGCGATGGCGGCTGTTCGGGACGTGACCCGAGCTCTCGACATCCCTGAGAAGCAAGCGCTTATCAAGTTTGATGATGATGCCAACGGGCTACGGTGGCACCACAGAATTTTGTTGATTAAAGGAGGGGACGGTCGGTGGATTGCGGCGACGCCAACGTGGAGTATCCAGATCGCCGACCTGACGAGGCATCAGATTCGAGTGCTGCGGCGGAACGCGCCCGTGGATCGGGAGTACCTGGCGGAAGCATTCTTGTTCGACCCGAACGCCACGGACGCCGAGTTGGCGAGGGCGCGGGCCGAAGCGGTCGAGCTGGCCGAGATCGCCGGTTTCGACCTGTCGGCGCTGCCCGGCCGCCCTGGAGGGCCCGCAGCTGGGCTCGACGCGGTGTGGAGGATCGCCGACACGGGCTCGAAGGCCATCGGGGAGGAGATCCCCGCCGAGGCCATGCGGGACCGCGACGCGTCGGTCATCAGGGACAACGTGGCGCTCATCAGGCTGGATGGGCAGTGGACCTACGCGGAAAAGGTGACGCCAGACAAGTACGAGGAGCGGCAGCGGGAAAAGCGAGCTGGGCCTGGTCGGGACTCGCGCCTGCTCGGCGACGTGCGGGACAAGGCTGGGCAGCGGTTCGTGGATTCTGCATCGGGGCTGAAGCTTTTGAAGCGTGTGAAGCAGCCCGTCGCGTTGCTAGACGGACCGCCAGCGTTGGAGGAGTACGCGGACGGCCTGACACGCGTGGGCTTCAACGTCGCGACCCGCAACCTGGACTGGGAGGTGAAGAGTGGCGCGGCGCCCCGCGGGGGCGTCGCTCGCGAGCACAAGTTCGTCAGCACCTGGCTCTACCTGATGCTGGCCACGGACCAGCTCGACATCAGCAACCTGATATCCGCTGAGCTGGCCGCTCGGCGATTGATTCAGATCGAGGCGGCGGCGCGGCGCAACCCGAAGGCGCCCGACTTCGACGGAGTGGACATGATCATGGCGACTCCTGCGGGGCCTGGCGGCGAGGTGGCCACGCAGAACTTCACGAAGTGGGTCGCGGAGAGGCAGAAGGACGAGGGCTTCTTGATGAAGCAGCAGAGGCTTCTGCGCGAGGAGCGCGCAGCAGACGAGAAGCGGCAGAAGGGCGGCAAGGACGAGAAGGGTCCGAAGACCGGCCCCAATGCTGTCGGCGCGGGTTAGCGCGCATGCCCGGCCTCGCGGCGATGTGGACCCTCCTAGCCCGAAGGATTCACATGGGACCCGCGGGGTCTTTCCAGGGCCGCAGCTTGGTCGACGCCAACACGGAGACCCGCTGCCAGTTTTGGTACCAGTTCAAGAGCGTTTGGATTCTCTACGCGATCGTCGGCGATATCTGCAGCAGCGGCTTCGGCGTCGGCGGTGTCGCGAGCAGCGGGTACTCTCCGCGCTGGGCGCGCTCAATGCCTTGCAGGAGGAGCCGACCAGGGACCACACTCAGCCTTTCGGCGACCGCTCACCGGGCCTCAGGACTCCGTCGACTTCGCCTCGCGCGCGGACTACTGGGGCATCACCAAGGTCTTCTGCGAGGAGTCGGGTCGTTATCGGCCCGTGGCGGCGGACACTCCGGTCTTCCCGGTCTTCGAGGGGGTGGCCATGGGCTGGAGTTGGGCGTTGTACTTCTGCCGCGCCACCACCGCCGCGGCCGGCGGCGCGGACAGCGTCGTGGTGCAGGATCGGCACGTGGCGCCGACTCCGACTCCCACTTGCGCGGTCAGGTTGCCCTATGTCGACAATGCGAACGTCATCGGGCTCACGCGGGAGTCGACCCAGCGGGCGCTCGAGGCGGTGAAGGACGACCTGAGGGCCAAGAACCTCGACTACCACGAGGAGAACCTGGCGGCGCAGGAGCTGCAGCTGCTGGGCGTGATTTTCGACGGCAAGAAGCGTCAGGTGCGCCCGCTTCCTCGGCGCACCTGGCGCCTGCACCTTGCCTTGCGTGAGGTGCTGCGACGGGGTGTCGTGACTGGGCGTTGCCTGCAGATTCTCGTCGGGCATCTGGTGCATCATTTTCAATTGGCACGGCCCGCGCTGTCTTGCCTGGACAAAGTCTGGGCCTTCATCGGGGGCCACTACGACGTGGAGAGCCCGCTCTGGACCACCGCCCGCTGGGAGCTCGCGGTCGCGAGCTGGCTCGTCTTCTGCGCGGGCGTGGATCTCGGGGCGCCGATTGCCTTCTGCGGGGGCGCCTCCAGCAAGGGCTACGCGCTGCGCGTCGCCAGCGTCGCCGACGCGGAGTTCCGCCGGGCGGCGCCGTTCAGGGAGAGGTGGCGCTTCGACCTGGTCGAGCGCGACGCCGCGGGGCGGGGGCCGGCCCAGCCCTGGGCCGCCTCCTGGCGCGCGAGCGCGGACCCCAGCGGCGCCGAGGCGGGCGAGGGGCTCGCCTCGGTCACCTCGTCCACTCAGGGACGGCGCAGGCCCTGGCGGCACCTCGACGAGGTCGAGGTCTCCGGCGCCCGCGCGGGCATCCCGCCGCTGGACGACGACCTCGTCGCCCGTCAACGCTGGCATCGAGTGGCGCGGGGCGGCTGGCGCTACGGCGCGGCGATCCACGAGAAGGAGGGGCGCGTCATGCTGATGGGCGTGGTTCGCGCCAGTCGGCGAGTGGCGCTCCATGGGCGGCGGTGGCTGAGCATCGGGGACAACCTCGCCTGCATCTGCAGCTTCGAGAAGGGCCGGGCCAAGTCGCACTGCTTGCGCCGGCTGTGCCAGCGGGCGGGGGCCCTCACCATCGCGCGCGGCTTCCTCTGGTACCAGCGCTACCTGGAGACCAAGCGGAACCCGACCGACGAGGACTCCAGGGCCGCCGATCGGGGCGAGGTCGGGGCCGGCGAGGCTCAGCTCGGCCGCGCCGGGCGCGCGGTGCTCAACGCCGCCGGGCGCCTGCCGGAGGCTTCGGCGCCGGCGCCGACCGCGCCGCGCGTCGCTCGCCCGCGGCGCCGGCCCTCGGCCGCGCGCTGGCTCGGCGCCCGCGTCTCCGGCTGCTGGGGCCTGGGGCGCTCGGGGGCCCGCACTCGCCAGCCGACTGCGTCAGTCGTCGGTGGCGGCCCGAGTGATCAGGATCGCCACGGTATGCATGCCACGAACAATGTATCAGCTCGAGTTCGAGTCACATCACGCTCGCCGGCCACGAAGAGTGTCGACAACGCGGTTCCCTCGTCATCGGAGGGGCAGAACGGGGCCGGTGTCACTGCTCAGCCTGTCTTCCTCGAGGTGTTTGCTGGCCACGCCGCCCTCTCGGCCGCTGTTCGGGGCGAGGGTCTGGGCGTCGGAACGCCGATCGAGATTCGGAGGGGTCCTCATCATGATCTCGGAAAAGTCGGCTTCAGCGTTTCGTCAAAGACCAGATCCGTCGTGGGAAGATATGGGCTCTTCACTTGGCAACCCTTTGTACCGTCTGGAGTGTGGCTCGGAGAACGGGGACGTCGTCTACTAACTGGGGTACCTCGTTGGGCGTCTTCACTCGGTCCGTCCTCAGGCTGTGCAGAAAATATGGGGTGCTGTTTACACTCGAGAATCCGCTCTCGTCGGGGCTGTTCCGCTGGGGCCCCATTCGTCGAGAACTGAAGCAAGCTGGAGCCTATTTTATACGACACGACAACTGCGCCTACGGGGCCAATTATCTTAAGCCTACTCTCGTAGCCACTTATATTCTTGAAATGAAGCAGCTGAGCCGTCCATGTCCTGGAAATCACTTTCACGAACACCTTTCGGGTAAAGTCAGAGTCAAGTCGGAGTCGGGCACGCACACCTGGGTATGGAAAACTACCCTGGCTGGCCTCTACCCCCCTCGTCTCTGCAGAGCCTA